ATCATGTGATTACTATTATCTGTTAATTTAATCTGTTAATAGTAATCTGTGACCACTATTATCATTTCCTGTGTCTGAGCACGTGAATACAGAATATGATAGGTAGTGTGTTTTGTGTCAGACAGATAGGAGTATTAGACCACAGTCTGTTTTTCTTAGTGAGAAAATTTGTTCCTTCGCCTCAGCTTTAGTAGCACATTTTGTAAACCTGAGACAGTTCCACAGTAATAAGAGGCTTTGTGGATGATCTGGTTCTCTTACTAAGAGATCTAAGATATCTCTATGATTTGGTAGATATTCAGTGATTTGGGATAACGGTTATTTTTCAACTATTATTTTTCCAATTTGTCTGCAGCTTTCCCCACAAATAAACCAAACAAAGACGCAAGGCATGTAATAAAAGTGGTAAGTGTTGTTTTACATTTATATTCCTGTATCAACTTTCATTCTGCTTTACTCTTGGAAAAAAATACTTCTCATCTTAATTTCCGTAGCTACAGAGTAATAAACCAAATATTATACTTACACATCATTAGCATGTTAAGACTGGAGAGGCCTTGTGCTGTATTGTCTTCTATCCTGCATCTGACTTATCCTCCTACATTCTTTCCTTCGCTCTTTTAGGGAGTAAGGACCTTAAAATCCTAGGCAATTCCACTTCTGTTCATGTCCCCTGGGAATAGCACAATGGATAAGATGCAGTAGACAGTACAGGAATCATGGGAGGGCCCCGCGGTGTTTTTCAGTGTGCCTGTCCTGAAGGATGTGCTGTTATCCAGCCAGTGCTTAAGTGTGTACACAGTTCTTGGTGCTTTTAATAAGATCTGTGCAGAAGACTTCTTTCAAGCATAAGACTATATTAGGATAGTAGTACAATATGTTGTCTAAAATGAGACTGTTCAAGTTTATTTAGTGCTGTTTTTTGTAGTGGAAATCTGGTGCCTATATTTGATGAGTAGAATTCTATAACTATTACATATTTTGCATGTGGAACCTTTATATTTTCACAGTTGAAATACAGTTTGTTTTATCTTTAGGATAATTCTTCCTAGTAAAATTATTATTTTTCTTTCATAGGAATATCAAGAAAATGGCCCATTATTTTCAGAGCTTAAATTTTATCAGAGAGCTGCAAAAAGAGAATATAGTAAGTAAAATTAGCTGAGCAGCTACTGTCATGTATACACTTTGCTCAAGTGAGTATTAACATTTAGGTGTTTTTCTGGCCTTCTGAAAAATTCTTTTCCATAAGCAATTTTGTTATAAAGTGATATACTTAAGTCTTATATAAAATCAAGACAGATGGTGTACACATCTTGAAATGGCACACATAATGGGTTAAAATTAGTCAAAGATTTTTTTCTACTACTTTACATAACATGCTGACTTGTGGAATTATCAAGAGTTCTCTAAGCACAAAACATTGCAGAATGAAATTACTTATTTCATAAAGATATATTTAGATAGAAAGAGTATAGTGGAAAAACTAAAGTAGGTGGATTATGTATGCATATATATTTACATATATATGCACACATATATGTAAACATATAGACACAAAAGGAATGGTTGTGAGGTGGGTTAAAGTGTTTAGAAATGGCTAAATGCTGAGACGGTTAAGGAAACATTGGAAAGGTGAATGTTGGGAAGTTCTTTGCAGTTAGATATCATGAATAAGAACTACCAGTTGAAGATGTGAATGCGAAATGACCATAAGCAGAGATGACGAACAATGAAGAATTTTCTAAGCACTAAGTGAAACATTACAGAAGCTGGTAGGAGTCATAATGGCTCGTGTGGTCAAGGTCCTGTATATCTTGTTAGGGAGAAAGAATGATGGATCTGGCCTGAGTAATTAACTTTGCTTTCTTAATAAAGCTTCTAAGCACTACGACTGTAGTCGCCACCACCTGCGTCAGCTGTGTCAGAGTGACAAATAGAATCCATTAAGTTTGATCGTTTTATCAGGAAAGCTGTCTTACGCATGGAACACATATGGCAGAGAAGGGAAAACAGTGATTAAACTACCTGATTGTTTAACTGGATTAAACAATTCAATTATGATTTTTTTTTAAACTAAATTTATTCAAAACAGTTATTTTACAGCAATGTCACAGTCAGGCACCTCTTCTGCTCAATTTGTATTTTGTGGACTAACTTGGTCTTAGACTTTGAAATGGGAGCAGCACTCATTCTTTGTAGTCAGCGAGTGTTACATTTAGAAACGTAGCTAGCATGTGATGAAATGATTTTTTTTCAGGAATAAAAATATGTACGAATAATAACAATGTACTTTGTAAGACTATGTCTTTTATGGTTCTATTAATTTAGTTTAAAAACAGGTAGTTTGTGTAAATTTTAGTGGTAACAAAAAGTTTGAAACCATGGCATAGTTATACCTATTTTTAAAAAACTTTTTATTTTCCTAGAATTAAAAACTTTTAATTTTCTAGAATTGACTCTTTTGGTTAGATAATTGAGTTTTAACATCTGCACAAAGGTAAAAATGCCTTTCTAAATCTTGTCTCTTGTAAAATTTTTCTTTGCAGTCCATAAGTGGATAGGACAGAGAAAGCTTGATTACTTGGGAGTTCCTGTATTTTATGGATTTGGTCTGACTGATTTCAAAGGAAAAAGGTAAAAAACATTAAAATTCTATCAAATTTATTTAATCAATTATCACCAAATAGCCTTCCTCAGTGATTTTATCTATCTATCTATCTATCTATCTATCTATCTATCTATCTATCTATCTATCTATCTATCCATCCAGGTAACAAACTACTCAAAAGCCCATGGTGGCTAGTATGCTTGGTTCTAGGTTCTGGTCTCCCAGGAGAATGTAATCTGGCATCTGCCAGGCTACAGTCATCTTAGGTCCTACCAGGGTAGGATGTTCTTTCACCTGTCACTCATACAATCATTGACAAGCATAAGGTGTCTTTGCAATGAGCTACCTGCATGTTATAAGGAAAAAATGCTGTTTTTCCCCATAGAAAATGGGGAGGGGGGAAGAAAGGAGAAAAAAGGAGAGGCAAAGAGGGAGAGATAATTCCCTTGTATATAAATAACAGTTCCAAGTTTGTGAAGCCTCAGAAAGAAGCTCTAATGTTTCATCTTTTGTTATACCTAAAACCTTTTAGCAGCATCTTTACTTCATTGTATTCTAAATGTTTATTTTTATGTACTATATGTGTGTGAATCTGGTGTGGTGTGTTATAGTGAATGTATAACTACCCACTTGCCACACCAGCAGAGGACATCAGATCCCCTGGAGCTGGAGGTGTGAGCTATCCAACATGGGTACTAGGAACCAAACTCAAGTCTTCTGGAAGACCAGAAGTCTTAACTACCAAGTCGTCTCTCCTGTTCCAGTTTTATTGTATTGAAGAGTATTACATTTTAAAAAATTTCTGCTCATACTTCTAGTTTTTTATACGTATGTATTTTTATGTATTATAATTTATTCACTCTGTATCCCAGCTGTAGCCCCCTCCCTGTCCCCTGCCAATCCCTCCCTTCCTCCCTCCCTCTTCTCCTCCCATGCCCCTACCCTAGTCCACTGATAGGGAAGGTCCTCCTCCCCTTCCATCTGACCCTTGTCTATCAGTATCATCAGGACTGGCTACATTGTCTTCCTCTGTGACCTGGTAAGGCTGCACCCTGCTCACGGGGAGGTGATCAAAGAGCCTGCCACTGAGTTCATACCAGAGACAGTCCCTGTTCCCCTTACTAGGAAACCCACTTGGACACTGAGCTGCCATGGGCTAAATCTGTGCAAGGGTTCTAGTTTATCTCCATGCATGGTCCTTGGTTGGAACATCAGTCTCAGAAAAAACCCCTGTGCCCAGATTTTTTGGTTCTGTTACTCTTCTTGTAGAACTCCAGCCCCCTTCAGGTCTTTCTATTGCCCCCTTCTGGGCCTCTGAAAGACTCTACCTAGCAGGGTATCGAAGGAGATGTTCAGACTCATAGCCAGTCTTTGGGCAGAGTGCAGGGAATCTTAAAAATTAAGATTGCCAAACAACGAAAAGTATGTGTGTGTGTGTGTGTGTGTGTGCGCGCGCGCGCGTGTGTGTGTGTGTGTATGTATATGTATATGTATATGTGTGTATATGTATATGTGTGTATATATATACATATATATGCACACAATAGATTCTATATAAAACATACATACATATATGTATATTATATATTTTTTAATCATCTTTTTAATACTTATATTCTTATTGGATAATATTTAAAGTATAGTTTTATTTTTCATTTTATATATATTCATGGAATATATGTAAACTTCATGGAACATTGGACATTAGTTTTGACATTTTCTGTTTTGTGGTTCTCAGTGATACGTTCAGTACCTTTAATTGATTTCAAGTGTAATTTCTGTCTTTTAGAGTTTGACACTGTGTTGTTAGCTCAGTTTATTTTCTTTCTCTATGGTTTTGGGGGGTTATCTGTAAAGAATGAGATTTTCAATAAAAAGTTACCCAATAAAATCAGAAGAGATATGCAAACTAACATATGTACAAATAATATCGTAAAAACATGATAAACATTAGGTGACTTCTAAAGATCATAACTTTTGACTATTGAATTCAAGCACACTAAAATAAAACCTCATGGAGAGTTCAAATGTCTTTTTGTTTTGTTTTTAGTAAAAATGGCCAATGACTTCATAGAAGACATAAACAAACAAATAAAGTCAACCCAGAACCTGGAAAGGCCCAGGTAATAGAGGGGAGAAAATCAGTAATGCAGATGATATAATAACAGGAAAGAAAAATACAGAAATAAAATAGAAAAAATTATTGAAAACAAAAAACTTGGTGAATCACATAAACATCAAAAAAGCAAGCAATCAGAAGAAAGAATATCAGGGATAGGGCAAGTCAAGAAAATGTGCCACTCAAACTCACTGGAGGAAATAATGGAAGGGAGGGAGGGAGGGAGGGAGGAAGAAAGGAAGGAAGGAAGGAAGGAAGGAAGGAAGGAAGGAAAGGAAGGAATCTCCAAGGACTTTGGGATAGAATCAAGAGCTCAAACCTAAGAAGCCATGGATGGCATGGTAGAAAGAACCAAAAGTATAGAGAATCTATGTGATGAAGTTACAGTAAAAAAAAATAAAATAAATAAATAAAAATCTATCTATCTTTATCTATCTATCTATCTATCTATCTATCTATCTATCTATCTATCATCTAAAAAAGGAAATTGCCAGCCAAATAGATATTTTGAATTGCATATATGTAGGACTAGGGAACCATATCACCTTATAGTCAAAATGTCAAACATAGAGAAAAGCTGTATTATAGGCTATAAAGGGAAAAATCTCAATGCATCTTCAAAGGCAAACACATCTGAATAACAACAGACTTCTTAACAGTTTTCCTGAAATTTAAGAAGGCATGATACAGTATGTTTTATGATTAAGGTAAATAGAAGATACTTAATGTAAATAACTTCTAAACAATATCGCCACATTCATGTAATCTATCTTTACAACATAAGACATTTCAAGACAACAACAACAAAACCAACAACATAAAACAAGGAAATCTATGACCAACAAGTCAGCACTATATAAGACCTACAGGAACATGACATACACAGGAGGGGCACAAAGGTATTCTTGGCCCCAAGGAAAGAATAAATTTCATTAATGTAGTAAATGAATAGGGGAGAACTGTGAAGAAATTCCAATATAGGTTTGCCAAGTCCAATATAGGTTTGCCATACTAATCTCAAATAATAATAACAACAACACAGAAACCACCAGGAAAAATTGCAGGAAATCAGAAGCATGACTCCGTAACAGTTTTACACACAAATTACCTCAGATTATTTTTTCTCTGTACTGAACATTTTTATTTTGTGTTTAATTAGTATTTTTTTACAATTTTTTATTTTAATTTTAATCAGTTACACTTTATTCACTTTGTATTCCCCCATAAACCTCTTCCTCCTCCTCTCCCAATCCCATCTTCCCTCCCCCTTTGCCATGCATGCCCCTCCCCAAGTCCACTGATAGGGGAGGTCTTCCTCTCCTTCCTTCTGATCCTAGTCTATCAGATCTCCTCAGATTTTTAAGAAGAAAAAACATATTGACGGACTAGATTAAAAACACAGGACTGAGCTACTTTTCATCTCCAAGAAACACTCCTCACTGCCTCACTGGTAAAGACATCCAGGATTGAGAGCCAGTGGAAGGACATCAGTCTAGAAAGTGTGGAAGCTGGTACCAGCTGCTGAAATTATTTTTATGCTTGATAAGGTAGATTCCAAACCAATATTAGAGGAGATAAACAGGAGCATTATGTCTTAACAAATGGAACAGTACATCAAGCATCATTAGGGAAACTGAAAATCATGTGTGCCTGCGTGTGTGTACATTCTTTCACATGCATTGGGAGGCCAGGCAAGGGTGTTAGATCCCGGGAGTGGAGTTAGGGGTGATTGTGAGCTGCCCAGTGGGTGCAGGGAACTAAACTTGGGTTCCCTGGATGAGCATTCTGTGTTCTTAATTGCTAAGCCATCTCTCCTGCTCCTGAAATTTACTTTTTTTTTTTTTTTAAAGATAGTAGAATCATTGAAGAAGCAAAAACAAAATAGTCTTCCCAGACAGAAAATTCCAGAACTGATTTTTCAGTTCTACCTGTTATTTAATGGAAAGCATGTAAACCTGAAAGAGAGGATCATGAAGGGAGAGAAAAAAACAGTACTCACTCTCCTAAAATAGAGATGGACACTCTTTAACATTCTGCGAAGCCATCATACTCTAATAAATGAGACTGGAAAGGATATAACAAAAAGAATAAATATTAACCAATTTCTTCAAGTATAGGTATGAAAATTCTCAATGAAATTCAAGAACACATTAAAGAGATCATACACTGTGACCAACTTGGTTTTATCCCAAGGATGTATGTTTGGTTCAACATACAGACATCAGTAAGTTAATACACATTCAAATACACTCTAGAGACTCTGTAATCGTCAATCACATGATCATCTTAATCAGTGTCCACAATGCCTTCGACAACATTCAGCATCCCTTCATGATAAACGCCCTAAAGAAAAGAAATAGATAGCAACATAAAAAAAAAAAAAAAAAAAAAAAAAAAGAAAGCTATATATGAATCACAACTGTCAACATACAAATTAGGGGCAAACTGAAAACATTTTCTTTTAACTTCAGAAAGACAAGGGTCTCAACTCCCTGCTTTTATTAAAATTAAGATTTGAAAAAAAGAGAGAGAAAGATATAAAAGGAAAAACAAAAATTCAAGCCATCCCTAGTTAAAGGCTGCTTGATTCTGTGTTTAAGAGACAAAAGTCTCTACCAGAAAACTCTTAGGTCTGATCAGCACTTCAGCATAGTTGTAGGACTTAACAATCCTGTTGTTGAACCTGGAGAACCTATTGAACAGCTAGTAGCTTACGTGCTCCAAAAAAAAAATGGGGTCAGGAGAGAGGGTCTCATTTAAATACCTAAATATATATATATATATATATATATATATATATATATATATATATATATGAATAAGCCTACTTGTGGAGGGGAAATACCGCTACAGTGGAAATGGCCAGGGACTGAGGGAAAAAAATGGAAGGAGACACTAAGAGATGGACTAGCTTGCATGTGTGTAATGCCAGAATTACTGTAGTGGAAATGGTTATGTCACTAAACATGATCTATAGGTTCAGTAGAGTCCTCATCAAAATTCAAGTATGTCTTCAGAGTTAGAACTACCAGAAACAAAAGTTCTAAAATCCACGTGACTACAAAAGTACCCAAACAACCAAAGCAATTCTAAGTCGAAAGATTAGTGCTGGTGCTAACAGAACACTTGATCTCAATTGTACCATGATCCGTGGTAATGAAAAATGTGGCACATAGAGAGGCTTGCTACCCGTAGACTAGAACAGAGGCCCAGAAGTAACCCACATCGATAAACTACCTAACCTCCAGATGTCAAAAAGACACTGTGGGAGAACACCGGTTCATCAGTGGTTCTGGCTATCCACACTTGTAGAAGAATAACAGCAGATTCTTATCCAGTGGGCCTTAGCCTTTCTAACATTGTCACCTTTAATACAGTTGCTCATGATGTACTAACCTCAACCTTGAAATTATCTTCATTGCTGCTTCGTAATCGTTATTTTGCTACTGTCATGAATCATAATGCAAATATTTGATGAGCAGGACATCTGCTGTGTGACCCTGTGGAGGGCTGTTTGACGCCCTCAAGGGGTTGCAAGCCATAGGTTGAGAATTGTTGTATGTCATTGTGCATAAAATCAATTCAAAACATGCTAAGACCTCGTAATTTAAGACAAAATACCCTGACGGTGATGGAGTAAACCGTAGGTAAAATACCGCAAGACAGAAGCACAGGCAAGGACTACAACAACCCAGGCAGACTTCCTAAGAGCTGACGGATGGGGTCGCGGTAGCTTCTTTCTGTTACTGTGATAAAACACTATTCCCAGGGCAACTTAGAGATACATTTATTTTCAGTTATGGTTCCAGAGGGCTCGAGTCCTTGATGGCAGGAAGGCACGACAGCAGGAGTGGAGCAGGACACTTAGCTTAGCTTACGTGTGGAGCCATATGCACAAAGCATCGGAGAGAGTGGGGCCTTTTTTCCTCAAGGCCTTTCCCCAGTGACATACTTCCTCCACCAAGGCTACATCACTTACACCTCTCCCACACAGCGCCACCAACTGGAGACAAAATTCCAATGCCCTAGGCTATGGGTTTTAGGAAATTACACAATGATTACACAGCAAAGGAATCATCTTAGTGAACAGACAACCTTTGTACTAAGAAACTCCTTTGCCAACTCTTCATCAGATAAAAGATTATCATGTGGAATATATTGAGATCTGCAGAGATTAAACAGCAAAAGTACAAAATCACTCAGTGTATAGACTAATGAACATAATGAATGGTTTTTAAAAGGAAGAATGGCCAATTTGAAACAATGTTTAATGTTCTCAGCTATCAGGGAATACAAATGAAAACTAGTTAAACAGGCTGGAGAGATGACTCCATGGTTACAAGTGCTTGCTACTCTGGTGGAAGACTGAATTGCACTTCCTAGTACCCACTGGGTGGCTCATTACTGCCAGAACTCTGGCTCCATGAAAGCTGACTTCGTTTTCTGCCCTCTGCACACAGCTGTACACATGAGGAACACACTTGCACAGGAACACATTCAAATATAGGTAAGCAAAAACAAATCTTGAAGGAAAAACTATTTTGAGATTACATGTCAGGAATAGCTCTCATTAAAAGCAAACAACACAAATGACAGCTCCTGGCAAGTGTGTTGAGAAAGAGGAATTCTTACACACTGGTGGTAGTATGGAAACTAGTGAGGTCAATATACAAATTATGTGGCTGTTTCTCAAAAAACTGCAAGCAGAATATGAACATATGACCCAGCAATGTCACTCCTGGGGATTTGTTTGGTGGAATTTTAGTTAACATATAGAAATATTTACATATTCATGTTTATTATGCACTGTTTGCAATATGTAGGGATGGAATCAGCTTAGATGCCCAGTCAATAGATGGATACAGAAAACGTGATATACAATAGAATTTTATTCAGCCATAAGAAAACTGAAATCATGACATTTATAAGAAAATGGATAGAGCTGGAAAATATTCATTAAATGAAATGAACTAATAAGCTATGCCAGACCTAAACAAGCTCTTTATGTTTGATCCCATCTGAGAAACCCAGATACCTCATATATTACGTTGTGTATGCCTGAGTGAGTGAGTGAGTGAGTGTGTGTGTGTGTGTGTATGTGTGTATGTAAAGAGGGGCGTATAAGAGGTGGAAAGACATCACAAAAATCGGGAGGGAGAAAAAGAGATAAGATAATGGAGTATGTGTGACATGAAAACAGGAGGGAGGATGCTTGAGGGGAAAGAGAACTGGCAGGAGGGCCGAGGAGTGACTGACTAGGGAGGGCAGTGGGAGAGGAGGATGAATAAGGCAAAATATTACACAAAAGTACCATGAAGAAATCTATTACTATGCATGGTGGCTTCATAAAAGGGATAGCTAAAACTTCCATGATAACATCACACTTTTGTAGAACAAAACCTCCCAAAGGGCTGTTTGTATATTTCTCCAATAGCAAATGTAGAATGTGGGCTGCTGTGCTAGAAAAGGGGAAATAGAAAGGGGACTACTGAACAGAAGAGAAAGATGTGAACTTAAAAAAAGATGTGTGGGATGGAGAGATGGATGGAACCACTCTAAGCACTGCTCCACACCTATTAGTGGCCAAGTTCAGATGCCCGCACCCACAGAACAGGCCAGGTGGGCGTCCCACAGACACCTCCAGCTTCCCTGAGGGACAGGCAGCCTCTTCCATCCGCGATGCCTGCACACACACATACTCTTGCATATTCACATAGATACCTGCCTAAATGAGTAAAATATAATTTTGTAAGATAAAGAAGTGTTACCATTGTCTGAATGGTAGTGACCTTTTTAGGACTCATGGATGGGGTGATGGGGATTAATCTGTACTGAGAAATTAGCACCATCTTGAGCAATCAAACAAGAGTTTGAAACACCGTTCTTGGCATTGTCTCAGATGCTAAGGGAAGAACAGCAAAGGAAACACTAGCTGCTCCGGGGAGGATGGCATCTTGCTGGTACCTTCTCCGGCAGCTTGGACTGCGTCCACCTTGCTAGGTGGGAAGCTTGTTCTCCATTCAAGTTCTTTACGAGATAATTTTAGTATTATTATTTCAGGAAGGTCTTTCCTTTTTGTATCTCCTTACAGTTACAGATTCATGGTAATGGAAAGACTGGGGATGGATTTACAGAAGCACTTAGACCAGAATGGCACATTTAAAAAGTCAACTGTCCTACAACTTGGAATCAGGATGGTGAGTTTGGGATGGATCCCTGAAAATGCTTCATCTCCAGATTACTTGCTTGATATTGCTTTTTATGAAATTAGGAGAAAATAGGATTTTTGCCTAGGAATGTGAGTTATAGAGTATAGAAAGTATTTTGGTAGAATTGATAACTAGGGACTCTTCAGATGACAGGTTGTGCTGTGGTTGACTATTGCTGATACACTCAGTTTTCTCTCACAGCTTGGTTTCCCGTATCAGAACAAGTTTGTATGGCTGTAAGAATAGCCTTTCTGTTGTCTGTTATATTTTTAACTGCAAATTACGGCCAAATAGACTATTTTTTTCGCAGCCAATATGGTATGGTTTGATTTAAAATATTTTAAGTGTAAGTGGGGTGGTGGCAACAATTAATTTTGCCAACGAATAACACACATATTCATATAGTCTTTATTAACTGTGAAGCAATGCACTCGTAAATGAACCATGCATACATTAATTTGCTGAAAATACCACATATTCCTATTATTTATATGTGGTTGCTTGAGTCTTCCCTATCCCCAATCATAAGTAGAATGAAACAACTTATGCCAGGTTGTGATGTGATAATAGTTAATTTCTCCATTCATCTCTTCATCTGTCCACTCACCTAGTAAATGCTTATGGAACCTTTTTCTCAAATGTTTGTTTCTACACACACACACACACACACACACACACATACAAGCACATACATACACAAACACACGAAATTGACATTCAAGGTACCAGGGCTATGATGATGGCTAAGCGTTTTCTGTTATTGCACAAGATAATGATCATAGGCATAATATTTTGTTCTGAGGTCTTCAATAGTTGAATCACAATTGATGAATAAACTATATGACTATTTTACCATAGTTGCCTTGACTATTTTCCTGTAGTTTTTATGCTCTTTATTCCCAGTCTCAGTTGCTTTTTTAGTTACTGTGATAGAATACCCTGGCAAAAGCAAATTAAAGGAAAAAGTATTTACGTTGTTTTATGGTGTGAAGTTATAGTCCTTCATAGTGGAAACTGATAATGCTGCATCCACAGCCAAGAAACAGAGAGTGAGGGGTGGCTACCCTCAGCTCTCTTTCTTCTTTTTATACAGTACAGAATCTCATTCCAGGGAATGGTTCCACCCATGGTGGGCAAATATTCCCATCAATGTTAATCCACTCAAAATATTTCCTACAGGTATTCCCAGAGGCTCATCTTGCATGTGAGTCTAGATTTTCTCACCTTGACAATTGAGACTGGCTAATCATCCCATTCCCCTTTGTACGTTTTGATCTGACCATTAGAATAAGTATTGTTAAATCTTAGTTTGCCACCCTCAGAGATTCAAGTAAAATACTTGATGTTTGAAGATTTTATTCAACCTTTTATGGGATGAACAACCAGGAACTGTGATATTTTAGAATAATAAGCAGTTGTGAGATACATTTCTTTATTGAGTGTGGAAGCAAACCATATTTTTCTAGTATAAAACATTGATACTACTCCTATCTATTTCTTTTCACAGCTGGATGTACTGGAATATATACATGAAAACGAATATGTTCACAGTGATATAAAAGCAGCAAATCTACTGTTGGGTTACACAAATCCAGATCGGGTAAAGAGAATACTAACCTTTGCTTTCTGTGAGGGGCTTAGTACTGTAGTCAAAGTTAGTAAAGACAGATTCTTAACCCACAAGAGTTTACAAATGAACATTTAATATGATGAATGTTTCAATTTGTCTTACCTTGCTTACCTGATTTAATCCTTGCACCAGATTAATGAGTAATTAGGATAAAGAAACTGAGAGCCAGAAGGGTTAAATCATTTGCTAATGGACACACATTGAGCAAGTGGCTGAGCAGGAAGTGAGTGCCTAAGCAAATAAATGTAGATAAAGTACTATGGCAATCCAGGGAGAAGAGATGGATATGTGCAGAAAGATAGCTGCATGGGGCTCCATTTCTTCTCTCTATAGTTTGAGCAAAGAAGCATGTCCAAAAGCACTTTCCAATTTCTCCCCAATATCATACCATGTCTTGAGATGTGGCTGGGACAAAACCAGTTGCTACAACGTATGTAGAGGAACAGCAGATAACAAAGCAGTGTGGACATCTGAGATGGTACTTTTCTCTGTTTCTTAGGAACATAAAAATATCCTCCCATGATATTAAATAATCGTGTTCCTTCCACTTAAATGAGTTGAATACTTATGTCCACATAAAAAGCCTGTAAGATGATTCATTCTTGGAAGTAACTGAAATGCCCTCCTGTGAAGGATATGTCCCAGTAGAAAGGGTATTCAGTGCTGAAAAAATACTTGCCAAACTATGGAAAAACCTGGAGGAACTTAAAAATATAACAGTACCTAAAAAGTCAAGGTGTAAAAGCTTGACAAATGCCAGCTGCCTGACATTCTGTATTAAACTATGGGGACAGTCAAACAATTGGTGGTGGCCCTGGGGTCAGAAACAAGGCTGGTGAACAGTCAAGACTACGAAGGTTCCCTAAGGCAATAAAACCCTCCTGTGTGCATCAAGGCACACTGTTGTGTAAATAAAATGGGTGTTGGGCTATATAATGTTTATTATTTGCCCTATGATTATCACAGTGGTATAATTTAACCCGCTATCACAATCAAATAAGACACAGACATCTGTTAGATTTCATAATTGCCTTATTTACCTTGGGCTTGGCAGATACTCTACCTACACTGTCTCAATAACCTCACCAGCCATCTCCCAGCCCCCATCCATTGCCATCTGCCTTAACCATTCCTATCTGGGCTACCTTCCATGCATTATCCCAAGATACTGATTTATATTTTTCATCTTGGTGTTTTTTCCATCCATGCTATCGTTGGAGTCCTTCCTCCTGGACCACATGGTTTTTTCTCCATGCTGACCCATCATGGGGTCCTCCTCTCTTCCTGTCCATCTGTTTCTCTTGATTCTCTTGAACCCAAAGCCCTGGAACCTTAGCCATGCCTACCCCATCTGCCCTACCAGGCTTTAGGCCTTTAATCAACCAATCAGATATAATGTCTTAGGCAGTTTACACAACAAAGGTAGGTTTATTCAGGCAGTACCCAGATCTTCAGGGCCAGAAATTAGCACCAAAATACAAGCATCAGACCAACCCCCAACAGTACATACATGTTATTATTTTTTTGTCAGGTACCATGGTGGATGCTGTGGACTTGGGGTGATGCTCATATATTGTCACTGTATGCAAATTAACAAGTGTTTGTCTTACTGAGGGTGCTGAGGGGAAAGCTGTATACCTTGGGGCTGGGAGCACTTACTGCTTAGTTTTACCCAAATTGCCCAAAATGTATCTGATTTTAAACATAACATTTCTTAAAATAAAACAAGTTATAAAAATATGGTAAAAATAACTGATTATAATTTTACTTTAAATTAATTTTAAGTAATAAGCATAAACAACTATCACCCACTGTCTCAACAGAGTTAAAGTAAAAAAAAAAAGAAAAGAAAAGAAAAAAAAACTTGAAAATATTAGGAAACTATAATTAAAAGCTTAATGGACCTCTATGAGTATTGAAACTTTTAGATAAGAGAAAAAGTCTTGACAGAAAATACTGGTAGGTTAGAAATTTAAATATATCTATAAATTAATACTAGATACAAGTACCTGAGAAAGATGTTTATAAAAATATTTGAAATTATCTAGCAAGCAATAAGAAATTAATAAACAAAGTGACACATAATTTCACAACATAGTGGTAAAAATGAAGGTGTATTTGGAGGAAGGAGACATAGCACTGTTCCTTGAGACAAATGGAAAAGAGGTCATTTTTGCTAAGACTAGAAGATGTGGAAATGAAACAGTGAGGCAGCATCATTAAAAAACAGAGCAAATTGGAAAAAATCTGAAAGAATAAGTAAGAAGATACATGTTCCAATATCAGTTTTGAATCACTTAGGAGAATATTTAAACCACTGTAATTGTTTTTTATTGCCAGGTAGTAAGAATTTCATTGAACACTATCATTACTTTATCTGTTCACCTTTTTTGGGACATTTGGATTTTTTTAGGATTTATTTTTATTATTATCTAACATGAATGTTGTGAACTGAACTCAGGTCCTCTGGAAAACCAGTTAACACTCTTAACTGCTGAGCCATCTTTCCAGGCCCGGACATTCGGTTTTGACAGCTATGATTACCAGCATGACCATGAGGGTAAATAACTGAAAAAGTGGCCTTTCTGGGTCATGTGATTAATGTATATGTGATGAAGAGACTGCCAAACACTTCTTTGGTAGCTGTCATTGTGATGCTCCTATCAGCAATGCATGATGATATTTCCTTCACATTTTGGTTCCAGTAGTTTTCTGAGTTTCAGCCATTCTAATAGGTAGGAGGCATCTGTCATTTAAATTTTCAAGAGGATTGCAAAAAGAAATGAGAGTGGAGACCAGACTTGGGAGAGAGCAGGGTGCACAAAGAGCCTCAGAGATAAGAGAAATTGGGGTTTGGGGCGTCTCTGTGACAAGCTGGAGACCTACGACAGGGTAGGCTTCTGGGAGGCTATGGGGTGACTCTAGCTAAGGGTCCTAATAGCAGGGGTCATGGAGACTGAAGAGGACACCCTCTAACTAGATAGGACTCCTAGTACAGAGAGGGAAACACCAATCCACCCACAAAAACTTCAACACCAATTTACCTTGCCTACATAAGATGTACAGGGACAAAGATAGAGCAGAGATTGAGGGAATGTCCAACCAATGCCTGGACTAACCATGGCAAAGAGCCAAGCTCTGAATATTCTGCTATGCTCGCAGGCAGGAGCCTAGCAGAGCTGTCTTCTGAGGGGCTCTTCCCAGCAGCAAATCAAAACAGATGCTGAAACTCACAGCCAAACATTGGGGAAGCATAGGGAGTCTTGTAGAAAAGTGGGAGGAAGGATAGAAGGACTTGGAGGTGCCAGGAGCTCCACAAGAAGACCAACTGAGCCAACTCTGCAGGGCCTAGAGGGGCTTACAAAGACTGAAGCACCAACCAAGGACCATGCATAGATTGTACCTTGGCCCCCTACACAGATGAGCAGCTCAGGCTTCATGTGGGTTCAAGGGGAGTGGGGGCTATCTCTGACACGGACTCTATTGCCTGCTTTCTCCCCCCTGGTGGGGCTGTCTTGCCACACCACAGGGGAAGAAGACATGCTCAGTCCTGATGTGACTTAATTAGCTGGGATGTGTGGTTTGGTGGGGAGCTCCCCTTATCTGAGGATTAAGAGAGGGGGAAAGGGAGAGGGAGGGGCCTATGATCAGGATGTAGAGTGAATAAATCAATACATTAATTAAGACAATTAGAAAGAGTTAAAATTTTTTGCATTAGTCATCTACTGCCTCTGACCAAGCTTCATGTGCTTGTTTGCCAGTCATGTGCTTTCTTGGGGAATGTGTCCATTTTTAAATCAACTTTTGTTCTGAATGAACTGCAGCATCTTTACATTTTGATGGTAGGAAGGAGCTTTGTCAGATGTTTGTTTAGCAGATATTCTCTGCAGCTGTGGCCCATCATTTGATTTTCCAAGTGATGTCGTTGATAAATAGGTGAGGCATCCAGTGTAACACTATCTTGATTACTATAAGTGGATACTGTTAAAGTGTGAGTATAGTTTCTTGTAGAGGCCATAAAAGGGAATCAATGTCCCAGAGTTAGAATTATAGCTGTTTTTGGGTGCTTTACCACCAGCACCCCATGAGAATCCTCACTTGGGCTAGTCAAGAGTAAAACATCTCCAACTCTTTCAGTTCTGGGAGTGAGTCCACTTGCTGTACTCCCTCAGGGGTTGCCTGGGCAGATGCTGTGGTTTTCTCCCTTCTGGACCCTTGGCTTCAGGCTCTGCCTGAGGCTCTGTGGCCTCCATGCTGGCACACAGCACGCTGCAGTTGGGATGTCCCTGGATGCTTGTAAAGCTCGCTCACTTGTGAGGAGCACAGTCTTCTCATGTGTTTAAAACCCCAAACACTTATGTCCTTCAGGAGTAACATGAGCAGTAGGAGCATGTGGTGGTTTGAATAAAGATGGCTCCATAGGGAGTGGCACGATTAGGAGCGGTGACCTTCCTGGAGAAGGAGCAGCCTTTCTGGTGGAGGGTATCCCTGGAGGCAGGCCTTGGGACTTCACATGCTCAAACCAGACCAGTGTCTCACATGCTCCACCAGCTGCCTGCCAGTCTGGAGGTAGAACTCTCAGTTTCCTCTCCAGCATCGTGTTTACCTGAATGCCACCATGCCTTCTGCCATGACAATAATGGAATAAAACTCTCCATTGTAAACCAGTCCCAATTAAATGATTTTCTTTATAATTGCCTTGATCATGGTATCTCTTTACTGCAATAGAAACCCTAACTAAAACAGGGTGTAAATCCAGACCTTCTTGCTGTCATCATCTCTAAAACCAAAATGGCTAGTTGAATTTCTGTTCTTACCATTTACTTTTTAAAATCTATTTTTTTTTTATTTTGCTGGGTTTTTTGTTTGTTTGTTTGTTTTGTTTTGTTTTTTGAGGATCTCAAGTAGCTCTGGTTAGCCTTGATTTTGTCATGTAGTCAAGGGTGGTGTTGAACTCCTCATCCACCCAC